AATGGAATGCACACAGCATGCCGTGAATCCAGCAGTGCCGGCCCTTACCTGTATGGGTTCTCATGTGGGCCTTCAGGTGGGAGCTCTTGGTGTAGGTCTTGCCGCAGCCGGGGTACTCGCAGTTGTGGGTGGCCGTCCTCTTGCGGGCCCATGACCTCCGGCCCCTCTTGGGTTTGCAGTCTTCGGCGGGGTTCATGGCGGGGTAATACTCCAATAACGGGGAGGATGGTGGGGTGACTATCATGCCATGCATGGCCGGGTGAACCTTCATCTGATCTCGGTACACCCCGAACTGTCCATGGAACTGAGCAGGGGCCTGGCTGGTGAAGTGAGGGGGGTAGGGCTGTGCCAGCTGGTAGTGCTGACTCATCTGCATGATGGGCAGGCAGTGCATGTCCGAAATCATATGACAGTCATTGATTGGCACATCGTCCACAGAGCTGAGCCGGTGCTGGATGTATGTGTGGCCCCCCATCTGGCTGGATATGTGCATTATAGTAGGGCCCATGCAGTCTGGGGAGGTGGGCGATTGGGTCCCCATCATGCAGTGCTGATCGGGTCTCTCCTTCTTTATCTTTTGCCCCAGGTGTGTCATCTGCTCCACTTGGATGGGGACTGGCACGTCCATGCTGGTGACCCTGAGTTCGGTGTACTTCCTGCCCGCCATGGGGGGCTTCATTCCATAGTCGGGGTGCAACTCCATACAGGGCATATCGGGGGTCAGCAGCTCGGCCACATAGCTGTGCTGGGGGCTGCTGGTGAAACTGCCCCCTCTATACTTATGGGTGCCAGGGTAGGAGCCGTCGCTGTCGTAGGTGGTGCTGCAGCTCTCGGGGGTCTCTGGAAGGGGGTAAGTGCCCCCCTGGCCCCCCCCAGGCTGGCTGCTGGTGGTATGAGACAAAATAAAATCCAAATCCACAAATTTGCCCAAATCGTCCTCCTCCTTCTTGATGGCACAAGCTTCGATGATGGGGTAAGACATCTCCATGTTCAGCTCCTGAGGGGGGGAGAAGAGGACACATGAGACAAACCGATCAAAGGCAGATACACCACACACAGACCGACTGACCAGAACTGTACCCTGCAGAACCAGTACACCCGGCAAACCCACACAGACCGACCCACCAGAACTATACCCTGCAGAACCAGTACACCCAGCAAACCCACACAGACCGACCAACCAGAACTATACCCTGCAGAACCAGTACACCCGGCAAACCCACACAGACCGACTGACCAGAACTGTACCCTGCAGAACCAGTACACCCGGCAAACCCACAACCCCCTCACAGAGACACACAGACGACCCACCAGAACTATACCCTGCAGAACCAGTACACGCGACAAACCCACACAGACCGCCTAACCAGAACTATACCCTGCAGAACCAGTACACCCGGCAAACCCACACAGACCGACCAGAACTGTACCCTGCAGAACCAGTACACCCAGCAAACCCACACAGACTGACCAACCAGAACTATACCCTGCAGAACCAGTACACCCGGCAAACCCACACAGACCGACTGACCAGAACTGTACCCTGCAGAACCAGTACACCCGGCAAACCCACAACCCCCTCACAGAGACACACAGACGACCCACACCCTGCAGAACCAGTACACCCATCAAACCCACACAGACCGCCTAACCAGAACTATACCCTGCAGAACCAGTACACCCGACAAACCCACAACCCTCTCACAGAGACACACAGATCGATCAGACATCGCTCAGTCCAGAACTATTCCCGAAAACCCGAGTCCACCCGACAAACACAACCCGATCACAGAGACACATCGCTCAGTCCAGAACTATTCCACCCGACAAACACACAACCAGATCGATCAGACATCGATCAGCTCCGGAACTATTACCTGCAGAACAAGTCCTCCCGACAAACACACAACCGGCTCACAGAGACACACAGATCGACCAGACACCGCGGAACCCAAAACTATTCCCGAAAACCCGACAAACCCAATCCCGCAGAACAAGTCCATTCAACAACCAGATCGCAGACACACAGACCGATCAGACATCGCTCAGCACAGAACTAATCCCGAAAACCTGACAAACACACAACCAATCCTGCAGAACAAGTCCATTTCAACAAACTCACAACCAGATCGATCAGACATCGCTCAACTAATCCCGAAAACCCGAGTCCACCCGACAAACACACAACCAGATCACAGAGACACACAGACCGACCAGACATCGCTCAGTCCAGAACTATAACCTGCAGAACGAGTCCACCCGACAAACACACAACCAGATCGCAGACACGTCGGGACTTTTATTGCAACAACTCGGCCGACTTCTGTCCGCAGAAATCACTCAGAACATTGAATCAATACAAGTAACTCCGACGGATTGATGGGATTCCAGTAACACGGCGACAATCACCGACAATCGGAATCCTCCAGATACCTCAATGACACAAAAACTTTCCCCGAAGTTTTATCGGAGGGTCCTGCCAGCGGAGACACATCGCACCCACCCACCGATCCCCCTCCACACTCACCGACACCATTGCGATGTGCTTGTCCTCTGCAGGGGGAAGGCTGGCGAATGCCACACTCATCCTGGCACCAGGTACTCCGGGCAGGCTGGGCTCTCCGCACCGGTCAGAACAAACTTTCTCCGAAAACTAGTCGGAGCTTCTGGCTGCGCTGCCTGTTAAGGGCCATGCCGTGCTCCCATTGGCCGGCGGAATATACATAATCACCGGGGCTACAGCTCTCTGATTGGCTGACGCTGCTGTGTTTGTACACACAATGCACAGCTGGCCCCGCCCACAGCCCCAGGCTGCCCTATCACAGCTTATTAACCTGCTATGAGAGTTGAAGAGACGGCAAACCCCGACACCCGGACAGTATACATGGGATTGTACTATGTGCCCGGCACCAACCTAACTTCCTACACTGTGTGCCCAACACCAACCTAATCTCCTACACTGTGCGCCCTGCACCAACCTAACCTCCTGTACTGTGTGCCCTGCACCAACCTAACTTCCTACACTGTGAGCCCTGCACCAACCTAACTTCCTACACTGTGCGCCCTGCACCAACCTAATCTCCTGTACTGTGTGCCCTGCACCAACCTAACTTCCTACACTGTGCGCCCAGCACCAACCTAACCTCATACACTGTGTGCCCTGCAACAACCCAACCTCCTGTACCTACCCATACACTTTGTGTCCAGTCCTAGCCCGACCCCTCCATCTTTATAGAATAGTGTGAGCTCAGCACCGACCTAAACTCCTTCACTCTATCAGTGTCAGTGTCTGTGTTCCCAGCAGCAACATAACCTCCTAATCCAGAGGGCCAGCTCATGCTGAATAAAGTTTTTGGTGGAGGTCGGAAATGTTTGGTCAGCTGAACTGTCATTGCAGAGTCACCAGAGGAGCTCCGACAGGTCACACAGGAGATCTACAATGTATGGGGCCAGATCGGCCATACATGGTGCAGAAGATAAGCGACGATTCCCAGAACTGGCCGACTTATCGCTCAACTTCCCGACAAACCTGCATCGCTACACACCAGTATATAGTATATAGACATCGCACCGACACTGATCTGTGTATATAGGGACAGACCGGCGGAGATGGTCACCGAGAGAT